TTTTCTTTTTGCTTATGTGGTGCTGAGGAATCGAACCCAGGGCCTCGAGCATGCAAGGCAAGCACTCTACCACTGAGCCACCTTCCCAGCCCCCTATGTCTGAGTTTTTGTTTTGATCTGGATGTGTAGCCCATGCTGGCCAAGAATTTTACATCTTTATGCCTCAGCCTTCTGAATATTAGGATTTCAGGCCTGTTCCACCACACCCAACCTACTCTTCCTGGTGTTTTTGGTTTGTTTTTATTTGTGCGGGAGTGTTAAAAAAGCAAAATCAGGGCTGGGAATGTGGCTTAGGGGTAGAGTGCTTGCCTAGTATGCATGAAGCACTGGGTTCAATTCCTCAGTATCGTATAAACAGAAAAGGCCAGAAGTGGCACTGTGGCTTAAGTGGCAGAGTGCTAGCTAGCCTTGAGCAAAAGAAGTTCAGGGGCAGTGCCCAGGCCTTGAGTTCAAGCCTCAGGACTGGCAAAGAAAAAAAAAAGGAAAAAAAGAAAAGACTCAGTTTAATGTTAAATAACTTTCATAATTCCTAATTAGGGAACATTATTTTTGCAGCTTTCTGCTCTTATATTTTCTTGGTCAAGTTCAAAACTCAGTATTAAAGACGCAAGCATGAAAAAGGACAAATTTGCAACTGACTCAGACTTTCTAGTATCATCTTCACATTATAAAATCATAATCTTTTTATAATTTAAAATATTAAGAGTAGGTTATTGTGGGTGCCAGTGGCTCATACCTGTAATCTTAGCTACTCAGGAGGCTGAAATCTGAGGATTACAGTTCAAGCCCAGCCCAGGCAGGAAAGTCTATGAGACTTTTATCTCAAATTAATAACCAAGAAGCAGAAATAGAGCTATGGCAGAAGGGGTAGAGTGCTAGCTTTGAGCAAAAAAGCTGAGGGACAGCTCCAGACCCTGAGTTCAAGCCCCAGGAACAGCACACACGCACACACACAAAATTGATTAAATCCCTGCTTGCCAATTTGACACTAATATGATATTATTATCATATAAATAGGAATTTGTACTTAGGTTTTAGACAAATGGAGCTTTTTAATTACATATAAAATAAAAAAGCTATCCTTTTTCAAATAATCCAATCCTTTGGCTTCTATACATGAAACTACAAATTGTATATGTTATTACTCTATAAAAAGCTTTTCTACAAACCTTTCTATCTGTGCTGAATAATTTTTTCTTTCCAGTTCTTTCTCTACATGTTAATTACGGTTCTCATTTGACCATGTTCAAACCCAACTGATCTTAATCCAGCTGTCAAAACAGTTTGCCAGCTGACTCTAGCTTTAGAATGTGAACCCTTCATTAGAGTTTCTACTTTTCACAGCTAGATGGTTTCTTCTTAGTTGTCTTTTGTCAACTTGAAAATTAAGAGCAAGTTTTCTCTTCATATATCTAATTGTTCTCTGTGGTATAATTATTCAGTTTTTATGACTACTTCTGCCTCTTAATCTAGAAAATGGTACCTATAAATGGTTAGTTTTTCTATCTAGCTTATGTGAGATTAGTATGTGAAACATGTATGTCCATATACCCAATGGAATAAGTAAAACCACGGATTTTTTTTTTCTTTTTTGGCAATTCAGAGCTTTACACTTGCTAAGCAAATGCTCTACCACCCAGTCACAACTGGAGCCCAACCATGAAACTTTGTATGTAACATGGAATATCTTCTCAGAAAACATAAATAAGTAAAATACATTCCTTCCTCCCTTTCCTCTTTGAGCTTTGAAACAGTTTAGAAAGGAGTTAGAGTT